GGACTAATAAGAATTGCTCAGAGCAACCAGGCGAACACTGGTCTCTGCATCTTTAAATAGCTACAAATAACAAATTGATGATGGCATAAACAACATTTGTCTTCTCTGCCGAGCTCATCCGGACAATTTGCATCATTTTTTCGCCTGACAGATTAGTGTAGTATAGTGGATCTTTTGAGAAGCCCAGTTGTAAACTGGCATAGACCTCGTTTGGATCGTGAACCAGCGTTGAAACAGGGCAACTACAACATATTTGGAGTACCTGATTTTATTTAGCGCCATGCATATTTTTTTATAGTGATGGCTAACAAACAACTAGCATGTAATTCTATACATGTAAATAAACTTTTTTTGCCATAAAGGCTGATACTATCCAAACCACACGACTGAGCTGACCCTGTGACCAGTTGTTACGATAATATTTTTCGAAAAGTTTTTTTTATGTAAATTAATTTATTTAAAAAAGTTTTTCTAAAAAATCAAATTAAATAATCTAATTTAAATTAATTAAACTTGTCATAGCTCATTTTTAAATTTGTTAAATTTCCATTAGCCAGTGAAAAATAAAAATTGGTAATAATGTCCCGTCTGTCACAAGTACAATAAACAAAGCAATTTATTAAAAATAAAAATTGGTAATAATGTCCCGTCTGTCACAAGTACAATAAACAAAGCAATTTATTAAAAACTTTTAATGTTGAAAACAATTTTGAAATTATTAATCTGTTACAATGTAAAAAACCATTTTAATAAATTAAAAAATAACTATGTAGAATTGCAATATATTGAAATATCATTAAAAATATACTAGCCGTAGACCATTTGAAATTCCAAACATCTTTCTTTTTTAAGTTATCAAGTGAGATTACATCATCATTTTCTTCATTTTTCATTTTATATATTAACAATTCATTTGTTTGTGATAATACCGAAAGAAAGCTGAAAAATTATATTAAAAATTATACATAGTATTGAATTCATAAATTTATTGTCTACAACAAAATCAACTATTAACACCAAAACAGCATCTTTGGATGTGGAATCACTCTTTACAATTGTCCCCATAGAGGACACAATCAGCATAATAATAAATAGAATATACAATTCCAATCAGTCACCACTACCAATTCCAAAAGATGAATTAGTTGCGCTACTAAGAATATGTACAGCCGAAGCGCCTTTCGTTGGCCAGGGTAACACACTATATCAGCAAATAGACGGTAGCAATGGTCTCTCCATTGGGAGTACTCTTTGCAAACTTCTATGTTGGACATAGCGAAGAGATGATATTTATAGAAGAACCAGAGCTAAAACCTAATAAATACTGACGATATGTCGACGATATCTTTGTTACATATGAAGACGATGATCAAATAGCAAGACTTCCACAACGACTAAACTCATCTAAATTAAAGTTCACAATAGAAAAATCAACTGACAACATTCCTAGACGTACTTACAAAATGTGCAAAATGAATTTAAAACATCAGTCTACCCCAAAGCAACGAACAATGGCAATAGTGAATGTTGTCAAACATATCTAGAGAGCACGATCTCCGCTTTTTTATACCGAGCCTACACGCACTATTCTGAAGCAGAAAAACAGAACTAGATAGAACCACTAAACTACTTATTAATAATGAAATTATCCAAAAAATAATAGAACGCAAAGAACAAAAAAGTAGCAACAACAACAATACAATCAACAAAAGTAACCAAAAAACATAGTAATATATTATAAGAATCATATGTCAACCACTTTCGAACAGGACAAAAAAATAATGAAAAAAATCATAAAAAATAACGTCCAAGCAATCAACGAGAATGATAGTATTAAACTACGAATATACTAGGTACCCCAACCAAAGAACGTCATCTCTTGTGATGAAAAACAACTGCACTAGTAAGCCAGAATCGATAATGGATCATAGCCATTTTATATATTTGTTCAAATGTAACATTGGTGAAAGTAGGCACCATAATTCTGAATATATTGGTATGACGACGACCAAGTTATCGAGAAAACTCACGATGCACGTACAAACTGGCGCTGTAAAGAATCACATGAAACAGAAGCACAAAACTAAAATTATTAGACAAATCATGGACCACAATGTTGAAATCTTACATTACAATAACAACCATTATAATTTAGGACTAGCTGAATTAATACTCAGAACAAAGACATCCGATAATAAATATTCAACAACGAGCAATTGGAATTCTTCCCACCAATAAATTTAGAAACAGAGATATCCTAGATAATGAAAACACGTAATAGTGTTATATTTATCGATAATGAAAACGCATAAAAGTGTTATATTTTACGATATCAAAAGATTGTAAAAACTAAATATTCACTTTGGATAAACAAGGAACCAATATAAAAACATTTTATCATCTGGGCACAACCAAAACATATCAATTTCCGAATGCCGAAGATGGTATAGGTATACAGAAAAAAGCTGTTTTGTTCTATCATGCATAATACAAACAAAAATTTTGGTTTCGAAATGAAGAAACTTGAAAATGATTTACGATCGACCGTTAGAAAAATCGAAAAGTAAAACTGAAAGTTAACTAATGCCGAACACGCTGTGATTTTCATCAATAATTGCATTTCTAACAGTCTTAATCCAATATATATATATATATATATATATATAAATATATATATATATATATATATATAAATATATATTTATATATATATGATAAAAAAAAATATATATATATATTGGTATATATATATATATATATATACATATATAAATTGTGGTCTACCAAATATATATATATATTTATATATATTTTGTAAAGGCTGGAAGAAGGCGATAATTGATGCATATATATATATATATATATATATATATATATATATATATATATATATTCGGTTGAAGATTACACCCCATTTTGCAGTTGGAAGTTTTTTAAATAAAATTTCAACAACACGAAGCTGTTTTGTTTCAACTTTATTAAACTGTGAAGTTTGGCTGACGGCCGTTTCGGCTAACCATGTACACTTCAACTACGATAATATACAAACAATTTTACTCATAATTTTTCTTTTAAATTTATTCGTTTATTTTCAACAATATAATGAGTTAATTATAAAATATAGGTTGTTATTCATTTATTTATTCATTTTAATATCTAATATTCTATTTTCTATTTCTTATAATTTATATTATTAACTCCTCATTTGGTTCTACATTTTTTTAAATTTATTCGTTTATTTTCAACAATACAATGAGTTAATTTTAAAATATAGGTTGTTATTTATTTATTTATTCATTTTAATATCTAATATTCTATTTTCTATTTCTTATAATTTATATTATTAACTCCTCATTTGGTTTTACAATCTAGGCTCCGACGATGGCATTATGGCACAGAGAATCGAGCTTTGGTGAACTCCAACGCCAATGTCAAATACATCTATGTTTCCAACTGTTGTGCTGACGAGAGTCTTAATATTCGTATACATTTCCATGACAAATCAAAAAAGATATTCTGGAATGAGTTGTCGACGTAGACTCCACCTGATTGCTTTAAGGGGAACTCAAGGTCTACAAAAATGTGTGATAGTTGTTGATGCTTTGCGGGGTACTTCTCTTGCTGTTGCCGAAGGATGTGAATTGCATCAATTGTTCATTTCCCCGGCGTTTAACCCGGCGTTTAACCAACAACGAAAACAAAGAAGTAATAAAAACTAGCATCGTAAATAGTGACAAAGAAAAATATGATGCTATCGATGAAGAAAAGGAGACCAAAGAAGATGACCAGCCAATAAAGAAACCTGACACCTAATTTGCATCAAAGTTCAACTTTACAACACCAAAGTTAATTTTTACAACGTCAAAGTTCATCTTGACAAAGTCAATATTTCCCTATATATATACAGCAAGGAGCACTGATGATGATTCATTCGGAATCGAAATATGGCCTTATTTGCAGCATGAATTCGAAAAATAAGTTTATTTAGTAAACGAACTACAAACATATTAACGCCAAACATTCGGTATTACCAACACACACACACACACACACACACACACACACACACACACACACACACACACACATATATATATATATATACACATACTAACAAATAATAAAATCAAAAGCACAAAGTAATTAATTTAATTTAAATTACAACTGAAAAAAAATAAATCTATCAAAAATAAATTTGATCCAAACCTCATGTCAAAGTTAAGATGAATTTGTAATGGACTTACACAAACAAACTTTTTGAATTGCAGCATGAGATTAGGCAGATTGTATATGTGTATCATTCCTGAAGAACGTGCCTTTTATTCAAACAATACATTAAAAATTAAATTTCAGCATTTGACAAAAATTGATTTGCAAACTAAATGGGTTTAATAAAAATTTTGAAATAAAATTAACATTAAAATTTTTTATTGAAACTGTCAAAATTTGAATTGTAAGTTCAAGTGTTAAAGTGCTATTCCAATTACCGAATTGGAATACAAAGAGATCCCTACCCACCAAATATCATGTGAACAGTTAGATTTACGGGTATTCGTATGTTATTGATACTTCGAAAAATTAACAGAGCAAAAATTTAAAACTTTAAAAAACGACCAGGAACATAAATTTTAACGTTTCTAAAACGATAACAAAATCCAGATATTATAAATATTTTCGAGTAAAAAAAAAACCACGAAAAATTCCAACAATAAAACAAAACTTATCGGTTTTCAAAAATAGAAAACCAACTTAGCCTATACTGACATCCTAATGTCGTGAAATTATGTTACTTCATTATATAATCTATAGGGTAAAAAAATAATATTTGGTTACTGATAGAAACGTTGTCAATATAATGATTTTGTACAACTCTAAAATATATTGTTACAGACGTGAGGTCGAGAAAATAACCAATAGTTAGAAATTGTTAAGCATGCACTGAGGAATGTAATTGTAATTAATTAGAAGGTTTGAAGTAATTAAAATGGTTGTAAATTCATTTATGGATGTGACACGGCATGTGACACATTTACAAACTGATCGGTACCAACGCAGAAGCAAGATTCGAGAGACAACGAGACAAAGAAAACGGAACACAGCTGACGTATAAGTCGTAAATGTGATTTACGTATTTGTTTGGATTAAATTATTGTTTCTATTACTGCTGGTATTAAATAAACGTTGAACATAGTTTGTGTTTAAAATGGATGTGTTCATCTATCAAAAATCTTGAACCTACAGATAAACGATCGTTCAAAGCTACAACACGGTATTGGAGATATAGCGAGTATTGAAGCTATAACATCGGTGTTGGTAGTTACGAGGTCAAGGAGGTTATAACAATATTGTTACAGACGTGAGATCGAGATAAAAAAAACTATTAGAAATTGTTAAGCATGCATTGAAAAATGAACCGCTTGTAAATTAATTATAAGGTGTAAAGTAATTAAAATGATTGTAAATTCATTTATGGACGTGACACTGCTATGTGGCACATTTACAAGCAGATTGGTAGCTATATAAACAACGCAGAAGCAAGATTCAAGAGAGAAAACAACAAAGAAGAACAGGAATTAAGAAGAGGTCAGAAGAAGTTTCAAGCAGAAAAAGTGTCTTATTTTTTGTTTGTTTGGTTTGTGTGCGTACTGCAAGCAAATTAGGGATAACGTCCAAGGAAAAGTTTATCACAAAGAATTACGATAATCTTACGAGAAGCCAATACTGTTACGGCCAAGAAACATCTGCCAAGAGATGCTTAATTATTGACGAATGGTTTAATTCCGTGAACAATTAGTTATTGTTCTGTATTTTAACGATTTTACCAATTGAATAAACGAGTGATTGATCACAGCAATACACACAAGTGGTTTTTTTTCTGACAAAGTTCAGGAGTCAAGAATCCACGTAGAAAGAAATAACTGTACCCTACAAGTTCAAAGGGTCGGTTATAACAATATTATATTTTGAATCAATATTATATTATATTTTCAATGAATATTTTATGTAGGCCAAACAAATAAAACATTGATTATTCAAACCACGACTTAATTTGTAAGAAATTCAAAGTAAAAAGTGAAAAAATATATATAAAAAAAAGATAATCATACAAACTATGACTAATAAACTTTTTGATGTCGTTAAACAACATATCTCATCACTAGTTGGTTCACACACCCTTTTCCAATCAATATTTTCGCCACCAACTCCTGAAGCAACATCGTCAACGTGCAATAATCTTGACAGTATAATCAAACAACTTATTTTAAGCCAATGAAAACAAAAATATTAAAAATAAAAAACGTCATAATGCAACTAAACTTTTTTAAAAACATACTTTTCTGTTCCACTTTTGTTTTTGCTTCCTATTTCAATGGAAGAAAATATTTTGAAGTTTTTAAACTGCCAAACAAAAAATGCTGATGAAGTTGCGACGACAACATTGTTATTTGACATAGATGCAAACTTTATTTCCATGTCTACATGTTTGCTATCAAACGTTGTTCCAATAGAATTTGTTAAATTCAATCTGTACCCGCTCGATTCCAACACCTAAATGTGTTTTATGAAAAAAACTCAACATAATAGTTTTTCAAAAATATTTATTTTTTAAATTTTGTATAACAAAAAGTTTATTGTTAAATTAATAAAAAATTGTAAAACCCACTCTTACCATGGTCACATTTAATAATTTAAAAAATGGGCGACAGCACTGTAAAGAAGACAAAGGTATGTCGACGATTCAAAAAAAACCAAAGCAGCCAAGGCCAGATTACTTGTATGCAAGGTTACTTGAATGCCAAAGTTGAAAACTCTCAAATAAGTGCCATTCAAGAACACGCGGAGCCAGCATCTTTACTTGTGATGACAAGTGACTTGGAACAGTGTAATTAGGAAATAGTTATATTCAAACCGTCTCGTGTGTTTTGTGATAGACTACTAAAGTTAATCTTGACAAAAAATATGGATTAAAATCTCATAGGGATTTTGGCCAACTCTTGCGGTCACCTGACTCCAAACTGAAGTTTAGGAAAATAAAAATGTAGGCGATATTAATGCAGAGGGCAGAGTAATTTGCTAAAACAAAATTTAGAGATTTATTTTGAAACGCTTATGATGAATAAAAAACTTTAAAAAAAATTTTTAGGTACCAATTACTCTAGTTTGAAAATAAGGTATCATAAACTTTTTTATCCATTTTTTCATCCTCAGCTCTTTTGTTATTTATTTATAATCTTCAACTTTAAAAAGTAAATGTAAATGTTTTTAGTTTCTTTTAAATATTAATTTCATTGTCAATTTGTTACCGTTTTTAGAAAATTTTTAATAATAATATTTTTTGAAATTAACAGCTTCATATTGAGCGGATTGTGCGCGAAAATAGGCGCCAAGTCTAAAATTCATTCGGATTGAACGTAAGGAACTGATAAAACAAATTTGATTTCGTAGTAGAGAAATAATTATTTTTATATCCTAAGTTAGATCAAAATGATCGAAATTGCCATGAGATCTAAAGATAACGGCGTAATAACAATTTTGTCTGTTCGATAAGCCGTTGGTTGCGGCACTACTTTTTATGGACGCTAAGTTTTGTTTTGAAAATTTCCGACCATCATTATAGCAGATTAAAGCGTTTCCTTGTGTGACGATAAATTTCTGTTGCTCATTGCGATTTCTTATGAATTTAAATAATTAACCTTTAATTGTAACTTGGGGTGCAAAATGCAAGGCACTTTCTTACACTTTTTTATTAAAACTACAGCATTCATGCTTTAGGACATTGTTAAGATATAATAATATAATGTTATGTAATGTAATGTAATATAAATAAATGTGTACAATTACCATTATTATTGCCATTAAATAATGTTTGTTTTTATGAAATTACATATTCGACATTAGTTGAACTTTATATTAAATAAATTATTAAATTAATAATGATACACAAACAACGCATAAACCGGAAATTATCTTTCTTTATATCTCTATTGAAAGTGGCGTCAATAACAGATCATTTGTAAAGGGAAGATCAAGAGATGGCCGATGGTCTTTTTTTAAACATACTTGACACAGTTTCATAATCTCAATGTGAAATTACTCTGAATGAAACAAGCCATATGAAGTTGTACATTTCGCCAATTCATAGCGAATATTGGGAACTCTAACTGGGAAACGTAGGTATTGCTTGAACAGCGTATTCTAAGAACAGCTCAAAAATACCGTATGAAAGTTTTTGTCCTATTTAAATAAATAATTTAAAGAAACGTAGAACAATATTCGCCTGCGATTTGTTTCGACATTTTATTAAATTAATACTAGAATTAAAATCATACTTATATCGAGTCTGCGAGTGTCTCTATAAAATCATACTTATATCGAGTCTACGAGTGTCTCTATAACACCATATAGTGCGTTATTTTATTGCAAATCTGTATTTTGCATATTGCATTTTGCATATACGTTTTGTAGTTGAAAAAATAGATTAACAATATTTTAGAAAAAATTAAATTTGTTGACATCGATTTATATACAAAAAATAATAAATTTTTATAAAAAAAAACCGAAAGCGTAACTTGTTAGCAAGTTCCCATTGAGGGTTAAGAAAATTATTTTACCGAATAATGTCATCCGAGATAATCATCAAATTAAATAAATAATTTTACCAAATAAATGTCAAAATTACTAATTGACTTGAAGTGATTTTATTCATTAGAGTTGAGAAGCATAATTCATAGTTTAATTCCTGAAAATCTTAAACAACAGCGTAATTGTTGTAATTGTAATTTTTTACTAAATGAAATCGTAAAATTTTTAGAAATAAAGTACCGTTGTAACCTTTTTCATTTTAGTTATTTAACAAAATTTTTGTAGAACGCACGATAAACATTGATTTTGAATACGCATTTGTTTCAAAATTAAAATTCTAAGTATAATTTATCATAACGTATTCAAATGAAACAAAAACACTTTTTTCAACATATATAATTAAGTAATCTGTTCATAACTATTATAATTCCAATGTATGCGTTTGAGCCATTGGCTCTTTTTAAAAATGATGTATATTTATAATAAATTAAGACGACTGATACAAAGTATTCAGATAAAAATTAATTAATTAAAAAAAGATGATTATGAAGATTAGTTTAATGTAAACACGGCAACAGAATATATTCTCTCCAAAGCTTCAACGCTATTTTGATAGATCTTGTTGCATTATTATTAATACCACCAAGTTTTTCCTCCTCTTCCATCACATTACATTACATGCTGACACCCAGTCATCCTCCTCTCCTCGTTCTATATGTCCAAACCATCTCAATCAACAGGGCGGCGTGATGGCTCAATGGTTAAAAGCGCCTGGTCTTGCTATTGTAATGATTGGGTTCGAATACAAAGAGATCCCCGTCTATCATATGCAACGTGTATGATGCGTGGTTTGTACGCGTAATCATATACGCTGTGTGTGTTTGTCATTGAAACCTCTGAAGCAAACGCAAAACCTTTTAATCTGCCTCACCCTATCACACGTATTTACTATATTTAACCTTTGTCGGAGCATTTAACTCGTTTTTCTGCCCCACATCCACCTTATCATCAGTTTTTCCGCCCTTTCCATACGCTGTATATCTCTCAATTTCATAGCCCATGTCTCACTGCCATACATCATCAGACGTTCAACATCATCACACGTTTAACCTCATCATATGACCATACGTCCTGTATATTTTTCTTTTACCTTTAAAGAAGCACATCTTGCTGTCAGAATTGGAACTAGTTCTTAGCGCAAGCACACTGCACTCTCGCTCTCGATGCCTCGCCAGCTCCATCTCCTATTATATCTTCCAGATAACCAAAATTTTCCACACATTCTACCTTCCTTTTACTATCTTTTTTCTTATTTACTTTTGCAAATTTAGACTGGCACTCAGTCTGCACTGCACTGCTCCAACATCTGTCACGCACACCGCACGGCCACTTTCCAGGATTTTCTAGGAACATTTACATTACAGTCTATACATTACAACACATCAATCAATCAATCTTCGTTTAGCGTCCGGAGAGTCAGTTTCCCGAGATAGGAAGTTGTTTTCTTTGCCATCAACTTGGCATCAGTTCATTTAAATTTAGAGCTTTTATGTCTTGCTCGATTGTTTGCGACCAGCAATTCTTTGGACGGCCTTTGGGACGTGTGTCAGGTACTTTAACATTTGCATGAGAAGTTATGGCACTGTTTCCAATTCGTTTGACCTGACCAAACCACCGCAAACGGTGTTGCCGGCACTCGTCCTTTATATCATCTAAACCAGCACGATGCAGGATATCGTTGATTTGATGTGGTCCTTCAGACTAATTTGTTTCATCCATCGGAGCATTGTTATATCGGTTCGTTGAAGTTGTTGTTCCAGTTTGGTAGTCATTAGCCATGTTTCTGACACAGATTTATAAAGTCTTGATCTTAGTGGTAGTGAGATGTCACGCAGCATCAATATAGAGGCAAGGAGATGCCATTTATTCCTGGCTGCACGTATGCGTGCCCGAACGGCAGCTTCAGCTGTTCCAGTACAATCCCGAACATTACCTAGATATTGAAATGATTTTGACTTCCTCTACCTTAATGGCTTCAAAAACATTGCTATTTCAAATTTGTTGTTGTGGATTGATGCAAGCAGAACAAACAAAATTGGACACTTTAGATAAAGTACAAATTATTTTTGAACAACGTTTGTGACACCACTGGTTACACTTGATTGAATTGTTACCCACACCAGCTTTACAAACTGAACAAGGCCATCGTCCAGTAGCTGTGGATTGGATAGGTTCACCAGTGTTCATTGCTTCGGTTTTGCTGATGTTGACTTTAAATCCATTATCGGCGAGTCTGGTGTTCCAATCTTCAAACATCTGTGCTGTATTCTGCTCAGACGTGGCTGTTAAAATGATATCATCAGCATATATTAGATTCCAAATGTCACCAGTGCGTATCGGTTTTGTGATTTCTTCCATCACAGTTATAAATAACAGTGGACTGAGAATCGAGCATTGAGCAATTTCTCCACACTTCACGACAAAGTTGTAGTAACGTTTGGATACCTGCAGTACCAGATGCTCTGATAATGTCATTTGTGATTCCAGAGAGCCCTTCTGCCTTTTCATCCTTCATAGCTTTCAGAGCTTCTGTAAACTCCTCTACAGTGACGTCTGGAATCGGGCTTTCGATGGGTGGAACGTCAAAGTTGACATTGATGGGATTTGTTTCATTTAACCGACGGTTGAAATATTCTCTCCACTGTAGCCTAATCTCATCTTGTTCAAGAACCATCTCATTTTGTCGTTTTTAATACATGAGGCAACAGCTATGTTTGCCACAAGGAGTCTATGTTGGGCGACAAATGATTCGCCAGGTATAACTTAGACATTTTTGGTTAGCCTTCGGTGTTGTTGCTTGACAGCGAAGAAATCAATTTGCGTGGCTGATGGTCCACTTTGTATGTTATGAGATGTTTCAACCTTTCTCTAAAATGTGTTCAGTAAACAAAACCCGTAACTTTCAGCAAACTCAAGGATGCGGTTGCCATTTTCATTCCGTTCTCCATACCCAAAACCACCATGTACGTTGTGAAAACCATTTGTTTTCTCTCAAACGTGAGATCGCCTCCAATCAGGAATGTTTCAGATTTTGGTAATGTTGAGATGGTGTCAGAGAACGCAGTCCAGAAGTCATTTTTCATCACTTCTGATTCGCCTGTCTGTGGTGCGCATGCAGAAAAAATAATCATTGTTTGCTTTTCTAGGCGCAGCTTCATTCACATGAGACGTGAATTAATGCTTTTAATATATAGTAATTCTTGGGCTAGCGGTTCTCTGACAAAAATTCCAACACCATTTTTGTCCGTCTTGTGACCATTGCAGAATAGTTTATATTTTTCTTTGTCTGGGTTGACATGACAAACACCATTCGATTTCCATCGGGTCTCTTGAAGGCAGTAGATGTCAATCCTTCTACGCTCGAGCATTTCTGCGATTTCCATGCTGCGGCCAGTCAGCATACAACATACAACACATAACTTTTGTTTTATTCATGTTAACCTTCAGCCCTTTTTTTTCGTTGCATCTTTTCAACACTTAATCTTCTCCACTAACTCTTTCTCAGAATCTGCAATCAGGCAAAAATTATCGGCATAGAGCAGCTCCCATGGCAAGCCCACGCGGAAATCCTTCAAAAGAGCCTTCAAAACAATAATAAACAGCAGAGGGCTGAGCGCCGAACACTGATGTAGGTTATAATCTCAGCAGGACCACTCACCATTTTCACCATAGACAAACCATCCTTATCCCATTCAAGCTCTTCATTTAACAGCTTTTCAAAACAATCTTTCCACTTTTCCTTTAAATTATCTTTAGCCGTGAGTATTTTACCAACCGACACCTTGACCCAGCTTACTCTAACATCTCTATTCTTTCTAACAGGTTCATTTCACAAATGACTAACTAGTGTTGGGCAATGCCCGCTTCACTTGATATCGCTTTTACATTACTGACCAGGGGTCTCTCTTTGTTTCTTATCAATACATAGTCCACTTGGGTCTTAATGCCACCCGACTCATATGTCACCTTCTGTGAATCAGGTTTAGTAAGTCATGTATTGCATCTAGGCAAACCGTACGGCATCTGCAAACTCTAGTAATATTTTCCACTCAAAATTTTTAGGCCTTTCCCACAATGTACTCTTTCAAATCAATCTACTCTAGCACCAACATGTCCGTTCAGATCACCACATACTATCAAAATCTCATTTTCACCAACATCTTCTTTCTCTTCTACTGGCCTTCCTACCTGAGGTGCATACAGTGAAACAAAATTCAGCAAGGATTTCCCAATAACTATTCTCAACACCATCACACGCTTATTAACACGCTTTACACTCCACTACGCTATCTATCCACTTTTCCGCTACTAGTGCCATGTCCACACTCTCCGTGTCTCCCTCTCATCGTTCCGACATTCACTGTCCCCAGTCTCAGTCTGATTTTATTTTCAGCTTTTACAGGGTGGTCGACCGGTGTTAAAACCATCTCTGGTCGCTGTAGCCCACTTATCATCTCTGATCAGTGGCACCAGCAGACCCACTTCTCGTTGATCTGGGTAACGGCAATTTTATGGCATTTTTGGTTTATGTGGCAAGTATTTTTATGACCAGCTGCCCTGCCAGGCGTCAACCTGTTTTACAACACAAGAAACTGAGTGACACCATCACTAGACAGACTAGCAGCCAAGGTTAACGAGCTCCATCTACCCGGGTTTTATATTGATGTTCTTCTTCTAGATGAATTGCCTTCACCACGGCTAATGAGCCCCATCCGCCCCGAAAAAAATCCACGATAATGATGTAATTAACACACGGTCAAGTAATTTGATTACAATGATGAAACAAAAAGCAGCTAAACTAAAACTAAAAATAAATTAAACATAAACCATAAAAAATAAAAATCACGGTTAATAAAAAACAAACCATATCATCTTCGTTATAAACTGAACGAGTGATTAGACAACAGAAATCATCTGAACCAATTATTCCGGTTAAATACTTTTGAAGTTTTAAAACTTTCTGAATAAATAAATAAATTAATTAATTAACTAATTAATTATTAAATAAATATTGAAATTTTATTTAAAATTAAAAATTTCAGTTTAAATTAATAAAACTTACAAAAAAAAACATTGACAAAACGGACATATATAACAGTTTTATAAAATTGTAATTTTAGTAATCGCTATCAGGGCTGTTTTGAAAATTGTGCCTTATAAGTAATTTCAATTAATTGTTAATATCTTGACATTATAATTTTAAGTTTACATTACGAGTTATTTGTTAAAATCAGATATAAACACGCGCTTGTAAAATTAGGTTGTGGTTGGAATAGTTGCGCTGTGAATTATTGGCGAACATGCGACATCAAGCGTATTTCAGTGTTTCTATTACTGTTGGCATTCAAATAAACGCTTAAACAAGTCTGTGTTTGAAGCAGTTGTGGTTATCTATCAATGTAGAGTGAATAACTTGACAACCATACAAATTACAACACTGGTGTCAGAAGCGGATTATTGGTAGATTAAAACTTTCTGTAATAAGAAATTCCGGAACTGAAAGAAACTAATCTGAAGAAAAAATTACGAAAACCAAATCTCGACCAAAAAAAGTAAACGCAGGTAACTGGTTCAACTTTTTGAATCCTATAGAAATGAATGAACAAATGGCTGAATTACAAATGGAGGAAGGGCTTTTAATATGCGTAAACGAGTTCAAGTGACAATCAGGAACAAAACGGAAATAAAATTAGAGCAAACCGGAGCAGCAAAAATGTACTGTTACTGAGGGTAATGTTGAAGCTAATGTAAATATTCATTCCGGACACGAAATGATTTAAAGAAAACCCCTCCAACACGCACCTGGAAAGATAGTTTAATCCTCGTCTACCTAAATGATGACATTAACGATGGCTTCATAGCTGGTGAGGATAAGATTTTCATCGCTCCATCACTAATCGAATTAACAAAAACGAAATTGACAACTTGCATCAAAGCATCATTCTACACTTCGTAAACTCAATAGAAAGAAAGCACCTGCTTCAAGTGCCAACAAAATCAAAACTAACCACGACGGCTGCTTATGGTTAGAGGAACCGAAATAAGAGAAACGTAGCGTAACCCGAAAAAAAAACGCAAGTTTGAAGAACAAAACAAAAACCTGGTCTGGTTGAACAGAAAAAAGAAATGCCCAGCAAAACTAATACGGAATTGGAAAGATCGTTAGAAAATCACGACCTATGGATGAGGGAAGAACACGTAAAAAAGATTGGTCGTCCATTTGAATAAGTATTCATCAGGTAAAAAAAACGCCAATGTTAAGGATTAACAGGTTTAGGTAGTGTTATATCCGCCGGAATGGTGGAACTACGCGATATAATTAATTATTGTTATCTTGTTATATATTTTATCATCGTTATATGTCGTTGATTGTAAACCATACAATCTCTTTATACCATAAAAGATTGTAAACAATTTACAGTAAGCTATATAAAACGGGAGAATAGCAAGATGAATAGCGAAGTTTGAAGAGAAGTTTTACTTGGATTATTTTAGTGTTTCTATTACCGTTAGCACTCAAATAAGCGTTCAACCAAATTTGTGTTTAAAGCATCTATTGGAAATCTTGAACCTACGAAATGATAACTCGTTGGAAACTACAATTGGTGTTAGAAATATAGAGATCATTGAAGTTATAACACTGGTTTAGTAGTAACGAATGTTAAAGTTTACAACAGAATATTATTTGTTTAAAATAATATTTAAGAAATCACTCGGATTAAAAAACTTCCACCAACGTGATCCCTGGTTATGTTCCAGAAGCATATAGTACTATGTTCATTATCTATGTTGTATGAAAAAACAATGCTGTTACTCATTTTGCAGTGCTGTTAAGTCGATAAAAAAAAAATTTTTATTATTAAGTTATAACCTAATTTATCAGTAAATCGATGAATGTTGAAAATAATAGTTAGTGTATTTTTATAAATTATAAGCAAATATTTTGAAAATACTGTTTTCCCAATAGCCATTGAAAAATGATAAAAATGCGAGTAGAAATAAAATGCTAACCATGTAGTTAATGCGATAATTGGCAAAATAAACATATGAATCTATTCCAATTACAATTCTCACACTGCCTTTATCCCACGAAAATGACCCAACTACCATTCCGGGCAGTTTTAATGAAATTATCATCTACAAAATTAAAAAAACAGTAAAACTGCAAATGATTAATATATTTCTCTTTTTCTTTTACACAATTACATATAAAATATTAGTCTACATTAAAACTGTTAACGATCAAAAAAGATAAGACAAATGAAGTGCATTACAACGTCTGCCAATCGCTGTGCGACATTGTTAGACTGACGCGCGACCAGTAAACTGTCGCCGCATTCGTCATAAGCAACAACGACCCGTCAACAGAGAAAAGCAGCCGATTCACGCCAGCCAAACTCGTCCTTCAAAATGCCATCAAAAGGTTGAAATATCAACATCTTGATAGTAGTAGTAGTAGTAGTAGTAGTAGTAGTAGTAGTAGCAGCAGCAGCAGTAGTAGTAATATTTGTATAGTTGTTGATGTAGTAGTAGTAGAAGTAGTAGTAGTAGCAGTAGTAGTAGCAGTAGTAGTAGTAGTACTAGTAGTAGTAGTAGCTGTAGTAGTAGTAGCAGTGTTAGTAATAATAGTAGAAATGGTGGTATACACGCTCTAAGTAATTCCTGGTTCTTATTATCATAGTCCTGGGCATGACATAAAACTGCATCCACGTTGCCTTGCGTGCTTTTGAGCAAAAGGCTAGGCCCACCGCTGGTTGTCGTCAGGATGGGTGTCCGGATGTAAAAACTTTTTCCCAAATTACTCTCATGCCATCACAAAGAAAAACAACGGCCCATAGTCCCCAGCAGGCCTTTAGGTGTTAGGATTCCTGGGAAGTATGCAATAGCGGAGGGATGTTGCAGAAAAATTCAGAATGGCCCCTCTATGGTACTTAGACTTGGATCACTGACTGGCCGCAGCATGGAAATCGCAGAAATGCTCGAGCGTAAAAGGATTAACATCTGCTGCCTTCAGGAAATCCGATGGAAATCGAATGGTGTCTGTCATGTCAACTCAGACAAAGAAAAATATAAACTATTCTGGAATGGCCAAAAGACGGCCAAAAATGGTGTTGGAATATTTGTCAGAGAACCGCTAGCCCAAGAAGTACTGGATATTAAAAGCATTAATTCACGTCTCATATGGATCAAGCTGCGCCTAGAAAAGTAAACAATGATTATTTTTTCTGCATATGTACCACAGACAGGCGAATCAGAAGAGATGAAAAATGACTTCTGGGCTGCATTCTCTGACACCATCTCAACAATACCAAAATC